CTAGGGTTCGGACTCGGTCTCGGGCGGCTCCTCGGCTTCAGACTCGGTCTCGGGCGACTCCTCGGCTTCGGACTCGGTCGACTCTTCGGGTTCGGCCTCGGACGATTCTTCGGGCGACTCCTCGGCTTCGGACTCGGTCGACTCTTCGGGTTCGGCCTCGGACGATTCTTCGGGCGACTCCTCGGCTTCGGACTCGGTCGACTCTTCGGGTTCGGCCTCGGACGATTCTTCGGGCGACTCCTCGGATTCGGACTCGGTCGACTCTTCGGGTTCGGCCTCGGACGATTCTTCGGGCGACTCCTCGGATTCGGGTTCGGCCTTGACCTAACAAACCGCATGTTTGTTTTCGCCCTACAAGAGTTCGTCCTTGCTCGCCTTGGGATTGTCCTCCCTCTATAATTTATTACACACATCCACAATAACGTAGTAGAGGACAACTATCAATACAATGGCTTACACAGGCAGGGTAAGTAGGGCTAGGGCAATAATCTTCCTTGATGGTTTACGAATACCACTAAGGCTCGCTCCCTTGTCCTTTGCCAATTTCTGCAAAGCGAAGAAATTGGCGAAATTGGTAACGTCTCCGTGGTCATCGTCGGAGAAGGGGATTCTGTGTCCCTACAACCAGGCGCCCAGTCTGGTAGATCGTAGCCAATAAGGCTATAATGCGTCCTGAATTCTCAATCGCATCTCACAATTCGCTTGTCTGATGCGTGATCTCACACTGCAAATATAGATAACATCTACAATGAGGATGACTATCGATACCAACAGAAGTTACGTCGTGAAATTACACATTTTGTCAAAGTTATTTTCTAAGTAATTTCCTTGACGAACTTAATGTTATTATCATATTAGTAAAAAAAAAGTTGCTTAAATGGAACTGACGTTATTTCATTTACAACTTTGTAAATACTGAACTTTGTTAACGAACTTGATTTAAGCAACAAAGAAACTTGTGACGACGTTTCAGTCAGACTTGGAACATTATCTTGTTACACTGAAACACGAATATGTATTTCTCAGTGTAATGGGAAATATGTGCATGTGAGTATGGCAGTAAAGATGTGCGCATTTCTTAGTGAAGATGTGCGTTTAGTAGTGAAAATGTGCGTTTCTTAGTGGAGATGTGTTTTAGTAGTGATGATGTGCTTTAGTAGTAAAGATGTGCATTTCTTTGTGAAGATGTGCGTTTAGTAGTGAAGATGTGCGTTTAGTAGTGAAGATGTGCGTTTCTTAGTGGAGATGTGCGTTTCTTAGTGAAGATGTGCGTTTCTCGGTGAAGATGTGCGTTTAGTAGGGAAGGTGTGTGTTTCTTAGTGAAGATGTGCGTTTCTCGGTGAAGATGTGCGTTTAGTAGGGAAGGTGTGTGTTTCAGAGCGAAGATGTGCGTTTCATAGTGGAGATGTGCGTTTCTTAGTGAAGATGTGCGTTTCTCGGTGAAGATGTGCGTTTAGTAGGGAAGGTGTGTGTTTCAGAGCGAAGATGTGCGTTTCATAGTGGAGATGTGCGTTTCTTAGTGAAGATGTGCGTTTCTCGGTGAAGATGTGCGTTTAGTAGGGAAGGTGTGTGTTTCAGAGCGAAGATGTGCGTTTCATAGTGGAGATGTGCGTTTCTTAGTGAAAATGTGCGTTTCTCGGTGAAGATGTGCGTTTAGTAGGGAAGGTGTGTGTTTCAGAGCGAAGATGTGCGTTTCATAGTGGAGATGTGCATTTAGTAGTGAAGATGTGCGTTTCCTAGTTAAGATATGCATTTAGATGTCAAGATGTGGGTTTAGAAGTGAAGATGTGCGTTCAGTAGTGAAGATGTGTTTAGTAGTGAAGACGTGCGTTTAGAAGTGAAGATGTCAGATTAGTAGTGAAGATGTGTGTTTAGCAGAGAAGATGTGCGTTTCTTAGTGAAGATATGCGTTTAGTAGTGAAGACGTGCGTTTCTTATTGGAGATGTGCGTTTAGTAGTGAAGATGAATGTTTCAGAGTGGAGATGTGCTTTTAGTAGTGAAGATGTGCTTTTCATAGTGAGGATGTGCGTTAAGTGAAAATGTGCGTTTCGTAGCGTAGATACTTGTTATTCGTGTGTGTGTGTATGTATATATATATGTGTGTGTATATTATATATATAATATATATATATATATATATATATATATATATATATATATATATATATATATATATATAGTGTGTGTGTGTGTGTGCACATCTATGCACTTGGTATCTGTAGGCATGGGAAATCTGGAAAAACAGATGAGACGTGCAACTTTGACCACCCTAGAAAATGCCGTGCCCATATGACAGCAGGAAAATGCAAACTCCCGTCTTGTAGGCTTTTTCACCCTGAAATGTGTCCCTCTTCAGTACAGGAAAGACTGTGACATAACTTATATTGCCAAGCACACCATCTAAAGATACAAAAGATACAAAACATCCAGACCATGGGAATACTTGGGTAGCCACAGCCACTCAAGAGGGGGAGGTTTTTAGTGCCAGGAAGGAAAAAAAAACTGGCAGGAAATGGCAGAAATCGTACACCAAATCCAGTCATTCCTGGAGTGGAACCACAGTCGATGGCCTCCACTCCATACCAACAAATACAGATATTAATACCGGAAAAAAAGTCCCTCCCAGTACCACCAGCCCGATGACATTCTTCTTTGCAAATATACAGGGTCTAAAGCCAGCAACGAACAACAAAATACCTTTCATTCGTGGACTGCTTGCAGAGGCAAATGCAATGTTCGCGGCTTTCACAGAGACCCACAAAAAGGATCACTTGGACAACGAAATATGGATCCCAGGTTACAACCTATACAGATGCGACAGAGTGAACAGGCGGGGTGTTGGCCTGTATATCGCATAGTCACTTGTTTGCACAGAACTGCTTAATGCCTCAAATGATGTAGTGGAAGTTTTAGCCTGCCCCTAACATCTTGCTCCTGGGGGATTTCAACTTGGGGCACCTAAAATGGAGGAATATAGCAAATAATGTTGCTGTAGTGATAACACCAGGAGACAGCTCGGACGAGAACTCACACATACACGAGCTTTTAAATCTCTGCACAAAATTCAACTTAAACCAGCAAATAATAGAGCCTACTAGACTGGAAAATACACTAGACCTCATCTTCACTAACAATGTTGATCTGATACGAAATGTCACCATATCAAAAACAATATACTCAGATCACAATATAATCGAGGTTCAGACATGTATGCGCGGAGCCCCAGACCGACAAAATGAGATTAGTCACGAGGAAGCCTTCACCAAATTCAACTTCAATAACAAGAACATAAAGTGGGACCAAGTAAACCAAGTCCTAACCGATATAAGCTGGGAAGATAGACTAAGCAACACAGACCCCAACTTATGCCTAGAACAGATTAACTCGGTGGCACTCGATGTATGCTCAAGGCTTATTCCTTTAAGAAAAAGGAGGAGTAGATGTAAAATAGAAAGAGACAGGCGCTCCCTTTACAGGCGACGAAAAAGAATAACAGAGCGGCTAAAAAAGGCCAATATATCTGAAATGCGTAGGGAGTCACTGGTCAGAGAAATAGCAAACATCGAACTTAAGCTAAAGGTATCTTACAGGAGTCAGGAATCGCCGGGAGAACTTAAAGCCATGAATGAAATCGAGAGAAACCCAAAGTATTTCTTTTCTTATGCCAAATCGAAGTCGAGAACAACGTCCAGTATTGGGCCCCTACTTAAGCAAAATGGGTCCTACACAGATGACAGCAAGGAAATAAGTGAGCTACTCAAGTCCCAATATGACTCAGTTTTCAGCAAGCTGCTAACCAGACTGAGAGTCGAAGATCAAAATTATTTTTTTATGAGAGAGCCACAGAATTTGGTTACCACAAGCCTATCTGATGTTATCCTGACATCAAATGACTTCGAACAGGCGATAAATGACATGCCCATGCACTCTGCCCCAGGGCCAGACTCGTGGAACTCCGTGTTCATCAAGAACTGCAAGAAGCCCCTATCACGAGCTTTTACCATCCTATGGAGAGGGAGCATGGACACGGGGGTCATCCCACAGTTACTAAAAACAACAGACATAGCTCCACTCCATAAAGGGGGCAGTAAAGCAATAGCAAAGAACTACAGACCGATAGCACTAACATCCCATATCATAAAAATCTTTGAAAGGGTCCTAAGAAGCAAGATCACCACCCATCTAGAAACCCACCAATTACACAACCCAGGGCAACATGGGTTTAGAATAGGTCGCTCCTGTCTGTCTCAACTATTGGATCACTACGACAAGGTCCTAGATGCACTAGAAGACAAAAAGAATGCAGATGTAATATATACAGACTTTGCAAAAGCCTTCGACACGTGTGACCATGGCGTAATAGCGCACAAAATGCGTGCTAAAGGAATAACAGGAAAAGTTGGTCGATGGATCTATAATTTCCTCACAAACAGAACACAAAGAGTAGTAGTCAACAGAGTAAAGTCCGAGGCAGCTACGGTTAAAAGCTCTGTTCCACAAGGCACAGTACTCGCTCCCATCTTGTTCCTCATCCTCATATCTGACATAGACAAGGATGTCAGCCACAGCACCGTGTCTTCCTTTGCAGATGACACCCGAATCTGCATGACAGTGTCTTCCATTGCAGACACTGCAAGGCTCCAGGCGGGCATCAATCAAATCTTTCAGTGGGCTGCAGAAAACAATATGAAGCTCAACGATGAGAAATTTCAATTACTCCCATATGGTAAACACGAGGAAATTAAATCTTCATCAGAGTACAAAACAAACTCTGGCCACAAAATATAGCGAAACACCAACGTCAAAGACCTGGGAGTGATCATTTCTGAGGATCTCACCTTCAAGGACCATAACATTGTATCAATCGCATCTGCTAGAAAAATGACAGGATGGATAATGAGAACCTTCAAAACAAGGGATGCCAAGCCCATGATGACACTCTTCAGGTCACTTGTTCTATCTAGGCTGGAATATTGCTGCACACTAACAGCACCTTTCA